CTGGAATGACTTTGGTTAAAAAAAAAAAAATTCTTACAACAAATTTATGGCTGGGGTTCAGGTGGCCTGCGAAGCCCTCTACGGCTTACACAACTTTAGGAGGAATACATGCATTCATTTGAATCTCATCTCCAAAACTTCTGCACTGTTGCCCTGTTTCATTTTCTCCAGACACAGTGAAGAAAGCGTTTGCAAGAAACCCCACCAGTGAAGAACACAGGTTTATTTTTTCCAGACTCTGAAGATCTCAAAAACTTCCTTTGGACAGAGACAAGCTTTCCCACCCAGGAGACCAAAGTCTTTGTGCTCGGCAGGGATCTTGCAGCTGTTTGCCATTAAAACAACTAAGTAAGTTAGAGTAATTCTTAAAAGGCATAAAATGATTAGCACCATCCATCTTCTGTTAAGAAAAGTATGTGTTGGCTAAAAGCATATAAAAGTAGGTACCTGTTCATCCACCCCATGGTACCATGAGGGAAAAAGAAAAAATGACTGCCAGCAGTACCAGGGATGAGCAGCTACCTCAAAAGCTTTTACATAGGAAAAACAAAAACAAACACAAAAACAAAACCTCAAGGAAACAGCAATCTGTGCTCCAAGTGAACCAAACAATTCCTTTTAGGTTTGCTTTTTCATGGGAAGCAAACACCCAGAACAAATCTGAGGGGGGAGGAAGAAATCCATCTGGTTGCCTTGAGGTAAACACTGACAAGGATAAGAGAAGTGACTCCAGCTATATCTAACTCAAGCTACGATCTGCTTCTTCTGAAGTTGGGACCGGATGATAAACTTGAGTGATGGTATCACTTAGCAATTATTTCAGCAATTCTCATTAGGGATTGAAAAATCTTTGCTATTAAAGTCTGGTTTGGTCTGTGTGTGTCTGTGCGTGTGTCTCCCATGAAAGACTAATTCTGTAATTAATAACACATCTGCTATGTGCAAACTGTCATTCTGACAGCTCTTCTGGGTCAAGCTGGGACCCACACTTGTGTTCCTTAAGGTAAAGCTGCGAACGACTGCATGCCACACCTTGCGCCTTAGCTCCGTGGTCTATTTTCACTCCATTTCCACTCGATGGGAGAACACCACAGTCGCGAGGAGAATGGCAGAGGTGTAGCCCGGAGGAGTTCGGAGGACCACGTCTGTCTCCGGCAGAGAACTTTCTAATGGAGTTTCCCAGCCCGCGGACGGTCCTCTGCCCTCCGCCCCGCCGGGCGATCGCCGCCAGGTCGGCGTGTCCGGCCCCACGTGCGGGCCCGGGCCGGGACCACCTCCCCCGCGCCGGAGTGCGGGACCCGAGCCCCGAGCCCCGCGCGCCGCCGCCTCCCCGCGCCCGCGCCCGGCGCTCGCTCCCAGCGCCCCCTGCCGGGATCCCCGCGACGCAAAGTTAAACCCCAACTCCGGGCAGCCGCGTCCAGAGGTACAAAGCCACCGAGAGATAAAGGGGGGAGCGCGGTTCCCGCCAAAGCCCCGGAGGCGGGGATGGGAGCGCGTCAGGCCGGGCCCCGGGGACCCCCGGGGGGACGGCCGGGGGGCGGCATCCCGGCCCAGGCACAGCTCCTCCGCACACGGGAACGAGCTGCACCTCCACATGCCCCAGTGCGGACACTCGAGCCGGGGTCCGCGAAGCCCGCAGGCCCCCGCAGCCCCGCTGGCCCGCGCGCGCCTCCCGGGTCGCGGCACCCTGCCTCAGTTTCCCTCCTCCACTCGGGAGCTGGAGTCACACCGCCTCCGCGCTTCCCGTGCGCACCCGCCCGGGAACAACGGCCACACACCGGCCCGCGCTGGCGGGGAGCAGGGCAGCGGCCCCAGGACCCCCGGGCCCCGTGCCCGATCGAGGAGCCCGGCCCGGAGGGCCCCCGCCGCGCCCCCGTCCGAGGCGTCGGGCCGGGCTCGCCGCCGCCCACCCCCAGGTCGCCCGGGACCCTGGGCTGCTCACCTCGCAGCGCCGTCCCCGGCCGGCGAGGACGCAAACTTCAGCCCGCGCTGGCTCCGGTGGTCGGTGGTCCCGACTCGCGGGCAGCCGCCCGCCGCCGCCGCCGCCCTCGCCCAGGTCCCGCGCTGACCGACCCGCGCCGACCCCGGCCCCGGCCTCGCGGGCACCGCGGGCGGAGCAGGCTCACGCGGCGCGCGGCGCGCTGCCCGTGCGGGGCACCCGGCGCCCCGACCCCGCGGCGCCCCGAGGGTCCTTCTCAGCGCCGGCGGGGACAACTGAGGCAGCAGCCGCCACGGCCCCTGCGCCGCCCTCTCCTCCCCGCGCGCCACCGGCGCCCGAGTCCCCAGGTTCGCGCCCCGCGGGGGAGCGGCGAGGGGAAGGACTTTAAGGCAGCACCCCGCGATGGACACCCCGGCCGAGGGCAGGTGGAAGCTGGGGCCCCCGTGCGGGCCGGGGGGCCGCGGAGCCCACCCGCGGCGGGGAGGACAGCGCAGCGGACGCGGGCGCGAGAGCAGCGAGAAGCAGCCGCCACAGGCGCCGCCTTCCCGGCGAGTAGAGCAGCGCAGGCAGCGCGGGCCGGCAGCGCGCGGAGAGGGAGAGCGCGGCCGCCTCGCCCCGCCCCTGTCCCGCCCTCGCCCCGCCCCCAGGCCGCTCAGCCACGCCCATCGCCCCGAAAGCCACGCCCCTTGCCCCAGGGCCACGCCCCCTCCCTCCCTCCAGGCCGGGTGGAAACCCGAGACTCCCACCCGGGCCCCTCCTCTGGCCCCGCCCCCCGCGGGATAGGACCCCAGCCCCGCGCCGGGGGCCACCCCGTGCACCCCCGGAAGTCCCACTCCTGCCTCCCAAGTGCAACTTCGGCCGAAATGATGACTTTTGGGGGAACTGCCCTCCCTCGCTTTCAGACGCCTTCGGGGCACCCCGCCCCCCTGGGGCGCCCGTCCCTCCCCCCTCCGTCCAGCCACTCAGACGGGGCTGCACGGGGGGTGGGGGGGTGCGGTATAAAGGGGGAGGGGGCCGCGGCTGGAGACGTGGCGCGGCGGGCCCCGGGCGGCGGCTGCAGGTAGGTGCGCGGGCGGGCGGGCCCGGGGCGCGGGGAGCGGGCGGGTCCTCGGGGACCCGGGGTTCGAGGCTCGGCTCGGGGACCTCCTCGTGGTGCTCCCCCGGACGGCAGAGCCGCGCGCGTGCCCGGGGCAGGGTCGCGGGATGAGGTCGGGACGGCGGGCCACCCCGCGGGCCGGGTGCAGACCCGACCCCCCGCCCGGGCCGCCGGAGGCGGGCGGCGCCCGCCGGGAGCCCCAGCCGACTTCTGCAAGTTGGGCCGAGTACTTTAGGCCTGGCTGAGTAAACACGCGGACACCAAGTTCGGCCCGGACTTCTGATCCGCCGTCCCGCTCTTCCGGGGTGCGGCGGCGGAGTGGCCCCGACGACCCTCGCCTCGGGCCGGGGGGGGGGGGGGGGAAGGTGGCCTCGGCCTCCTTTTTGTCTCCTCCCCCGGCCTGGCAGAGGCTTTCCCGGCCCTGGCCTTGGTAAGGACGTGCACCGAGGCCCGTCAAGCCGGGAGGCCGCGGATCCCCTCGCCGGGAGGGGGGGGGGGGGCGGGGGTCTCCGCACCGGGGCCCCGGGGCCGAGGGCGGGCCCGCGCACCAACACTCGCTGCAGTGTGTCAGGACCACGGAGATCCACGGGCAGGACAGTCCAAATACCAACTGCTGTCCATGCGTCTTTGTTCTTACCATTTTAAAAAGTAAAAGAATTAAATGAACCCATCCCGGAAACCTCCCGGGACGCTCGTTCCACCCCCGCAGCTGGGGCAGCAGGAAACCGGGGTCCTTGAGGCCCCCCCTGGGATTTCCCGAAAGTCATCCGGAGGAAGTGTCTCTCGGATTTCCTGATTGCCTAGAAGACACCGGGAGGACTTGTCCTTGGGGAAGCCTTCCTCCCTGAGCGGTGGGCCTGGCTTCCCACCCACAGGTGGCAGCTTCTGGCTTCTGGCTAGGACCCCTCTATGCTTGGGAGGAGGTGGGGACTGGCTCCTTTCCCAACATTCCACTTGCCTCTCTGGCCTACGTGGCACCAAAGCTTAGGAGCCTCTCAGGAGGAAGCCAGCCAGTGTGGAAAGGCTCCAGAGTGGAGGCACAGGGGGACCTCTGCCTCCAAGCTCCTGCGAACCCGTGGCCCTCGCTTTACCACCTGCAGATATTCACCTAATCCTTTTCCTGGCTTCCCAATATTTCAGTTGAATGCAGTCAACATTTAAAAACCTTTTAATGGCATCTATATACTTTTAATCTCTTAACATATAGAGAACTAAGCAGGGGAAAGAAAAACCTTTCTATACCATAATTCCGGAGCACAGATAGCCTCCCAGGTACCTACATAAATTAAGGACTAAATTAAGGACTTGTGTATCTGCTAGCGAGAGGCTGTTTTTGCTATATTCAATCATGAACCATTGCTAAGTGACATGTGTTATAATGAATTAGAAACAAATTGCTAATAAGGGAAAAGCCAAAATTACTATTAAAAGTGCATGCTTAATTTAATGATTTTGCCTTTGAAAGTTAGGTTTTCCAAGCTAATCTCATCGTCTGGAACTTAATCTGCCCTTCCAGAGAATCCAGTGGTAAATCCTAAGAGAGAAGGAAGGCCATACAAGTAAAAAATAGCCAGGCTATAGCACCTAGGGAAGTAGTCCCATGAGTTTTCTCTGTTAAAATTCTTTTTTTCTCTCCTCGCTCATTGAGCAAGACTTAAGCTGCCGACGATCATTTTGAAACCAAAATATGTCATTGTCTTCAAATAAAAATATTGTGTGTGCGCCTCTCCCCATACTGCTTCCCCCAAGCCGTGCATAGTAATGTACAGGAACGACTAAAGTGGCCAGACACTTGGTGGAAATGATGAATTTTGGGGCACTGATTCATGTGACTTGAAAAATGCCATCCATTTCCTGATTCACCTACGTTCCTGTGCAGAAATATGAAGCATAGCTTATGTTTGTGAACTACCTAACCAGTACTGTCATGTTTTTACATCCCTCCCTAGCCTCCAATTCCAGCCAGAGAGCTCAGAGCCAACCAAGAGGAGTGGAGAGGAAGAAGCTGAAGAGAGCATCACCTGGGCCAGTGAAGATGCTTCTGTGGACCGCAGGTGGTCTTCAAGGAAGCCTGGACACCTGTGGTCTTTCAGATGGAATAAGAGCAACAGCTGTCTGTTTCTCACGCCTGTGATCCTCTAGACGCTCAGGAGATGAGATCTAAGCACTGTGCCTCAAAGCCAGCCCAAGCAGGAAATTCTATCAGACTTTTACCTGTGTTAATCACCAAAAAGTGGATGTAAAGCTAGTACCCCTGGGCTGAGCCACATTACACCTGTCACCTATGAGTTGGGCCACATACAGCATCCATGGGCTGGGCCACTTTACACCCAATGCTCATGGGCTTCCCTCTTGACCCCCATTTAAGAAATGCAAAGGCTGCTAGATTGTCAGATTGACCCCGTCAATGGTTTTTAACAAATGTAAACATTGGCACATAGTCGTTTGATTCTCAGTCAAGATTGCACAGGAATTTTTTTATTGTCATTATAAAGATGCTGTACAGAGAGCTTACCATTTCATAAGTCAGGTAATGAGTACATTTCTCTTTGGACAATGCCACCCTTCCTTCATGCCCAGCTTTTCCTTTTTGCCCTCGCCTGTAAATTTGCACAGGGATGCTTTGTATTACTTGGGAGATCTATAATTGTGGCTGAAGGTGACACTGTGATAAAGTTTTTACAGATAAATGGTCTTGAAGTGAAGATTTCAGGAACTGTCAGCCTCAACTTCTATCTCCAAAGCGTTAGCAAAGCCCCATATGGCCCTTTAAGGCCCAAGAAGCCCTCATTCCCCTGCAGTGGGAGCCCACTCCCCAGGCCAGATAGGTAGGTTTTCAGATAGGGTCTTACGCAGGACCGTGATGGGGTAATCCTCCCACTTCTGCCTCCTATGTAACAGGGTTATAGGCATGCACCACAACACCTGGCTTGTCCTTTGAAATAGAGTCTTTGGATTGGAGTCAGGCTCAAGTTAGTAGAGTGCCAACCAATGAACAAAAGCACCAGTTACCAAGTTCAACTCCCAATCTCAGACAAAAAAAATAGAATCTATTTGTCCAGGCTAGCCTCCAACTATGATACCCCTACCTCCACTTCTCTAGTAGCTGGGATTACAGGTGTGTTCCACAGGGCCTGGCTACAAAGGCCAGGTTTATTTATTCACTAGAGAGGCATAGGTAGAAAGTCCATAAGAGAATGAGCATAAATGAGTATGGTACAAAACTCAGGTTCCTGACTCTTCAAGGTGAAAGTGTGGGCGATTCGGTTCTGCCACTTGTGCATTGGAAAGCCCTGTTCTTACCCTCCTCTCCATCAGCGCCTGCCTCCCACTTCTCAGGGCTGGTCAGAGCAATGTGCTGACACTCAGCGTTCCAAGGAGGTTGTCACAGAATGACCCGCCTTCAGCCAGGTGAGTTCTTACCTGTGTCCTCTCTCAAATCCATTCCTCAGGTGAGGCCATATCCACAGGAACGAGTTGGTTAAGTCCATGGGCCTCCGGAGTAAATAGCTCAAGGATGTTACAAGACATGCTCACTCACAGTAGCTAGGGAAAAGAGCAGTTTTCAAGAGTTACTGTTCTCTTAAAATAATTCAATGATTTTGTTACTGTTTTGGTCGTGTTGAGGTTTGAACTCAGGGCCTTGGGCTTAATAAATACTCTACCACTTGAGCTATGCTCCCTAGCCCTTTTTGCTTTAGTTTTTAAGTAGTCTCACTTTTTTGCCAAGGTTGGCCTGACTGTTATCCTCCTATTTATTCTTCTTCCTATGTAGCTGGGATGACAGGCAGGGACTACTGCATCTAGTTTTGTATTGGTTGAGAGGTCTCAGAAACTTTTTTCCAAACTAGCCTCAACGCTGTACTCATTAAATATCTGCTCAGTACTTACTGATCACTATTCTGTCCCTCTGTCTTTGAGGGGGAAGTGAGTATTGTAGGAATTATATCGTCAGAAGTAATATCCAGTCTGCTTAAAATTAGGATCTCCAGTGAGGCTGCCTGAGTTTATTTCATCACGTAGCAGGGAAGTTTACCCATAATGACCTTGAATTCCATAAAAAGAATACTTGTGAATTAAAGCAATAGGTAAAATGTCAGTTGAAGCAGAGCAGTAGTATAAAGGGTCATCAAGGGTCTCTGGCTCCTCTGTCAAATCGCACTTCAGACCCGGCCTTAATCCAATTTGACAGCTTCTCTCAAAACACCAACACCTCCTCCAGCACATCGGCCTTGATCATTCCCCAAACACCACCACCCATACTAACACACATCTCCCTGGGTAACACAGAGCTGATTTTATTGGAGTTGCAAACGACTTGGCTTTAAAACAAGCAAAACCTTGTTTGTGGCTAGATGAAGCTATGAAATCTAGTTATGATGAATGAGATTTAAGTTGGGTGGGATTCCATGACAGGGGGTAACTAATGAGGTATGATCTGCTTTGTCCCTTTTTTTCTGCCTCTAGATTCTTCCTGGAGCCTGATCTGATAGTTGAAATTCCAGGCACCATCTTGTACTCTTCAGGTCGCTTTGAGAATGTAAGCCAGGAGCAAAGGATGGTACTGGAAAAGCATCTAAATGCTAGTGACTCCAGAAGTCTTGTGATCATGTCCACTCGGTAAGAGTGATTTGTACAAAGCAGATTTCTGAGGCTGTCTCTGAGGTTAATGATGGAGAATTAACGAAGAGAGTAAAAGCTACACTAAATATAGGAGCCTTGACAGGATAAAAGTATTTGTTTTCTCTGTCTCTCTTCTTCCCATTCTCCTTCCCTACTTTCCTCCCCCTGCTTCCTGGCTGCCTGATATGAGATGCTCTATTCTTCAATACCCTCCCCACCATGATGGACCGCTGACATTTCTTCCCAGTAGATTGGCTGGGTACAGCCCATACTGCAGCTCTTGAGAGCTAGCATTCCACACTGGTAGCTCTACTGGTTTGGGGCATCAGAGGTTGACCTACCCCAGGCACTGCCCTGATGGATGAGCAGCAGTCCTACCTCTGTGACAGCTCTGTACCTGGGCCCAGTGATTTCTGAGAATCGTTGGAAATCAAGGTGATTTCAAAGATAGACAGGTGTCCACAGCTCGTGCTGTGCACCTACTGAATTAGAAACACTGAGGCTTGTCCTACCCTAAAGGGCAACCCAGGCCATGTTTCAATCTACTTCAGCCAAATCTGGGGCTACAGAGGTATGCTGTGCTTGGCATGGAGGCAGAGAGCCCTGAGCAAACCCCATGAAGCCAGCGCCATATTCCCATAGAGGCCTTGGGCCCTCCCGTGACATCTAATGCGCTCAGAGTGTGGTGCAGAGCCTGTGATTGGTGGAGCCGCTGCAGACATCTCTGAAATGTCCTCAGAGTCATTGTCCCGTGTCTTGACAAATACCGCCTGGCTTTCCCACTGGACCACAGACTAGACGTCATACTTTCTCTTTACAACCTGGCATGGCTGTGGAATTTCCAACTCTTTTAAGATCTGCTTCCTTTTGCTTTACAAATTCCATCTTTAATTTTTCTCTCTTCCCTAAGCCATGAAGAGAGCTTTTATTGAGAGCTTTCTTATGCTAAATATCCTAATTTGTTGTCCCGAAACTCTTAATTCCCAGGAGGCACAGGACACAAATGCGATCAGCCAGCTGTTCGCTACTTGGGCATATGAGTAGTCTTTCTTACTGTTTCAGTGTTTCCTTCCTCCTTTCTTAAACCTTATTAGAAAGATCTTCGTTGTCCATATTTCTACCAGCATTCTGATTGGTTGAGAATATGCCATGTAAACTTGTAATGTACAACCATTAAAGAAACTGGTTAGTAAGTAGCAAATAAAAACAGGGAAACAAGCAGATGTGGATGATTTCTTCAGAAGTACTTGATGCATGATTAATGCTTATTTTATGAAATGGTGAATAGGAAAATCTTGGGCCAAAAATTCCAGAATGTTCTGCCATTAAAAGTTTGCTAATGTAAATCACATAATCAAAAGATTAAAGAAGAAAAAAAATAAAATGATCTCAACAGCTGCAGTATGCTTTGTTCAAATTAAACATGTATTTGTCATTTTAAAATATCTCATGGCTTTAAAGACAGAAGGGAATTTACCTAATTTGATAGACTACCACAAAATCAGCAAAAGCTCAGAAGAATTTAATTCAAAGAAGATTGAGACATATGTCTTTCTCGTGAAAACTTTGTTTCAGCATGGAAATTATGACAGAAGATAGAAAAATGAACATGTTTTAATTGCAGGTGTTGTAGTGAATGATCTTCAATTAACAAGAATTCAGCAGCCCCACATGAAAGATTTTCATGACAAATCCACAAAACAAAAGCTGATGACCCTAAATACGTATGTCCTAGATGAAGTGACTCAGCATATATCTCACATGCTCCCTGACTTTATCCTGTAATACAGTGCAAAGAAATCACCAGCCACCATTTTGTGGAACTAAAACTTAGGTACAAATCAAGCACAGAATTCTTTGAACAACAAAAAATTTCTGTTGACTATGAGCAAGGCCAGTAGAAGTAATGTCAATATTATGTATAAAGGTACAGGAAGAAAGACTTTTAGATATTGATGGAGGACCAGGCAAAAAGTAATAGAGTCCATGAACACCCCACACAGGCTTGTAATAAAGGTGACCTATGCCTCACTCGGAACAATGGGGACTCAGTAAGTGGTGCTGAGACAATTGATTAACCAAATGCAGAGTAATGGAATCGGGGCCTCCTTCAAACCGTTCATACAAGTAACTTCAAAGTAGATTAAGGCCAAAGTGAGAAATAAAACATTAAAACAGTTATGAGAACAGTAAGGAGCTGCCTATGACCTCCAGGTAGGGAAGCAGTTCTTAAAATAAGATACAAAGACCAGCCATAAAGAAAACAAAAATCAATACAGCAAAACCACATTAAAAGTTTAGAACTTCTATATAATGATATACAGCTTAAAAGCAAACTGTAGCCAGAGGGAGTTTTTATCATACAAGTATCAAAAAATAGCAGCTAGTGTGTATTCTCCAAATCACACTAACCCACTGAAAAGGTAGAAACAATAGGAAAATGTCCAAATATAACAGGAATCTCGGCGGCCAATAACATTAACCTTCCTAACAAACGTGTTTTTCTTTTGTGTGTGTGTGTGTTTTTCTTTATATACAAAAATTAGATTAACAATGAAAAGTCAGACAATAAAAACTATCTGTAAATAGTCTCAAGAACTTTAGAAGAACAAATACAACTATTACTTATTTGGGTAGTACTGGAGTTTGAACTTGGGGCCTCTTGCTAACTAGGCAGGTTATCTACCACTTGAGCCTTACTTCCAGCCTGGAGATATAAATGGGGACAATCACTTGGCAAGGTATTTAAATCACTCTTGCAATATGTGAGATGAACATCTCCTAAGTTCACAGGACAAGGTTGCAGAGACACATGTAAAATACTGCCAGGTGATAGAAATTTTATAAACCAAAGTACCTTATCCCTATGAGTTAAGGATACATACACAGTTGCCAAATAGCCCAGAAATGACAAACAATAAATGCATGGTTTCTGTCTATGAGGAGGAAAGGGAGAAGGCAGATTGTGGAGAAATAAACAAGGACCATCAACTTTTATCTGTGATCCGTTTTAACATGAAAATAAATATATGAAGCAAACATCAAAATATTCTAAGATCAAACAGAGGTGGTAAGCACTCATTAGATTATTATCCTTTTCTGTGTACTCAAAAGATTTCATAATTCAATTAAGAGGTTCATGGGAAATAAGGAAGTACAGATAGTCACGGAGGAAGCTCATTAGAGTGGTTTCATCCTGAAGAGAAACAAACTGGTCACAGCTGGAGGGGGATGTGCACAGAGGGCTATGTTTTAAAGTGGGTCATTCAGTGCATGTTTGTGTGTTGGTTGGTGGGGATGAACTTGTCTCTGTGCAGAACAGAAACCACATAATCCCAGGAACAAAGGCCCTGGAAAGACACGAGGCAATAGAACTGTGTTTTGGAGAGAGCCAGCCCCTCCTGAGTTGTCCTATGAGGGAGGAGCAGAGGGAACAGGCACAGGCAAGGAAGGATGTTTGCTGGTGAAGATGGACACTTGCTCCCCGGAGAACTTTTTCTTAAACCTGGTGAGGCGTGAGGGCTGGGTAGGCTCCTTAGAACTGAGATGAGAATGATGAGTGTTCATAGTGGAAACCCAGTCAAGGCACTTCCTGCGGAGGCAAACTACAATCTCCATGCTGCACAGATAAGAGGAGCGAGGCTCCTGACCAGCGTCCCAAAACTTGCCCCTTTGTGGGGTTCTCTCCAGCATCATTCAGCAGGTTGGACACAGAGTAGTTTCCCCAGACACCAGGAGGGGAGGAGCAAAATATTGAGCAAATTGGTTGCAAATTTGCAACTTTTTTGTTGATGTTTTGCTTTGGTTGTGCCGGGGTTCAAACTTGGCGCCTCAGGCTTGCTAGACAAAGCAGCAGACCTCTACTATTTTGCTTTAGTTTGTTCTTCCATGAGGCCTCTGACCAGCTTCAAAATGAGATCTTCCTATCTCCACCAGTAATGTAGCTGGAATTACAGGTACATGTCATCACACCTGGCCCAACAAGTGATTTTTTTCAGATGGTCATTCAGAGTAAGCTTACGGGGTGATATTGATAATGGTGTTAATGGACTAGAGGAAGAGATGGGGTCTGAGAATGGTTTCAAGTGATATAGTATGTCCATCATAATGGAACTAAGGAGGAGCAGTAATGCTTGTTAAGGGTGAGGACCAATGGGGCTTAGATCAGAAGATCTGCACCTCAGCTGTGTGACCAGTATTGGTATTAAGGTCTTCAAGAGGAATTTTTATAAATGAAGCAACATAACATGAGCAAAGCCATTTTGTAATTTTGAATAATGTTGTTCAGAGAGAATAGACCCCATAAAGTAAATCATAAGCTAATCACCACAAGTATCTTGGTAATAACTCCAAATTTTATGCTCTTTCTGCTGTCCCAGGCTTCCTGTACCAGATTCCATGCAGTTCTTTTTATAGATTGGCAACTAATATATATGAGTATTTCCTGCTGCCCAGGCTTTGATATAAAAGGCTTAATATCTCCCACATTCCCCGTCTGATGACCATTGTGGCCACTGCTTTATTGGCAATTAGAGAGGACCCAGACAGGTCCAGTAACTCCTTACCCCTGAACACATAGGCAATATAGACAGACACAGTAGGAAGCTCTGTGGCTTCAGAGACTGGTTCCTCCACATGACCTCCTGTACACGGGGTCCAAGATGGCAAATGTTTCCCATAAAGCTCTGTGAGGCAGCTGGACTCTATACAGCATGTAAATGAATTGTGTTCCAGTCACAATTTATTTACAAGAACAGGCCAGATTTACTCCAGATAACAACGTGCCCGTCTTGGCTGTAGGACAGTGGTTCTAAAACTCAGAGGCTAGAGCATGCTTTAAAGTCCTGGGGAGGGCTATGCGAATCAGACTGCTGTCCCACAACTTGTCGTGTGTCTGGGGCAGTAAGTCTTGTCCTTTTGTCTGTCTGGAGGAGATGCTGATGCGCCAGGCCCAGGAACCACACGTTGAGAACCAGTAACCACAAGACAGTACCACACACAGACTGCCTGTGCTGAATGATAACAGTAATATAAGCTCTTGCCATTCTTCACTCTAACCCCAGCCCCAGCCCCCTCAGCATCCCACACAGTCTTGAGGTTCCAGCACTAGAATATGGCCATAGCTGACATCTGTTCTATGGAGAGAGCCCTCTTTTGGTCTTCTTGGGACCGTGGCTTCCAGAAGGCTCTTGGTTCTCAAAAAGATTTGCTTGTGGCATGAAAATAAAATGAATGACTAGATTACTAGGTTACATTGTTTCCAACTGTTTTAAAATGTGACAAAAATACTAAGGATTTGGTTAAATTGCTCTAACTTGGAGAATGACATTGCCCAGCATGAGAAACTCATTGGTATTGTACAGAAGCTCATTTTTTCCCCCAGTTGACATGTTTAAAAAAATCTGCATTTTGAAGACAGTCCCAAGATATACCTGTGTCACATTAAATGGAGCCCATCCTGAGTTAGGATTGTGCAAAAGAAATCTTTGCTGTCAGAAGATGGTTCCACAGACATGAGGAAGGAATGAAGTAGATGGTTTCAAGGTTTCAGAGAAGACACTGCTAGACATGAGAACACAGGCCTTAACGGCTAGATCAAACTTCAGGACACATCTACAAATAAGTTGGGAAGAAGCTGCCCCCTTTGGCTGGTTTCCTCTCAAGCTAAAAGGCCAAATGCAAAGCTAAGATGAGGTCACTTAGAAGTCCCTCCATGGCTGAGCCACACGATACCAAATACCTAGGGTTCCCTTTATTTAGGAAAACAGGTGTGAAATTAAAATATTTCCCAAAGTATTTTGAATTAGCAAAAGAAAACCTTATTGGGCTTTCTAAGTGTGACTTTCCTTTTTGCCTAACTCTGGAAAGAAATGAGCACAGCCGAGGAGGACCCCACCCAGCCTGCCTTACCCACGCATCCCTGTCCCCAGTGCCCAACTGTTCTTTTGAACTGACAAGACATCCCAGGCTTTCATTTTATTCCACAACAACAAACATAAACTTAACTTCTGGATGCTTTTATTCCAAGTTTAATGGCTTACATTCCGGAGGTCAGTAAGCAGATGGAGTTGAAGTTGAAAATGTATAATTGCAGATAATAAAACTGCAACATTAATATGTCTCTGTTAATGTCAAGATGGGATGTGAAAGCTGGAGGGGATTGAAAGACTCTTGCTCCCCTATTTCATCGCACGAATGAGGACATGCAGGCTGGGGTGGGAATGTGGCCTTCCCGAGTTGGGCTTACACAGCAGTTGGGGACCCAGGGTCTCCTGCTACATGAACCAGTCCTTCCACTGTATTCTGTCTCCACCGTCTGCATTAATTCCAAACTCAAGGGAGCTCTAATGGGTCCTGCCCTGCTCACCTTCAAATATATATGGGGAG